CGATCTTGACAGATTAGAGAGATGGGCCAAAACTAACAAAATGAAGTTCAACAGTGACAAATGCAAGATACTCCACTTTGGCAGAAAAAACGAAATGCAAAGATACAGAATGGGGGACAATGCCTGGCTCGAGAGCAGTACATGTGAAAAAGATCTTGGAGTCCTCGTGGACAACAAGTTAAACATGAGCCAACAATGTGATGTGGCAGCAAAAAAAGCCAATGGGATTTTGGCCTGCATCAATAGGAGCATAGTGTCTAGATCTAGGGAAGTCATGCTACCCCTCTATTCCGCTTTGGTTAGACCACACCTGGAATATTGTGTCCAATTCTGGGCCCCACAATTGAAGAGAGATATTGACAAGCTGGAATGTGTCCAGAGGAGAGCGACTAAAATGATAAAAGGTCTGGAGAACAAGCCCTATGAGGAACGGCTTAAGGAGCTGGGCATGTTTAGCCTGAAGAAGAGAAGGCTGAGAGGGGATATGATAGCCATGTATAAATATGTGAGAGGAAGCCACAGGGAGGAGGGAGCAAGCTTGTTTTCTGCATCCTTGGAGACTAGGATGCGGAACAGTGGCTTCAAACTACGAGAGAGGAGATTCCTTCTGAACATGAGGAAGAACTTCCTGACTGTGAGAGCCGTTCAGCAGGGTAAACATGCTCAGCTTGATTATTCTATATGGCTTGAAAGAATTATATAATTCTTTTCATTGAAACTTCAGAACAACAAAGGAATGTTTTCCTTTTTTTGACCCAAATACACTACCCATCATCTTATTGTTAATGAAAATTAACTTGTTCCCCAAGCCTTACAAGACCCACAAGCATATACTGAATTAGTTCACCTGACTCATAGAATGTGCTAGTAACATATTGGTAAGCACCTTTAAATAGTTTTATTTTATTTTTTTGTTGGCTCTCTTGGTTTTTGGAATTTGTTTTGGCTGGACCTTCAGCTTTTCCGTTCTGTTTTTACCTGAAAACTCCAATTGTAGTGCAACCCTGGATCTCCCAAAGACATAGAGCTATTCTGAATTAATAGTACCTTGTTCTTTTGATAGAGCTCATTACTAGCCTTGGAATCATGTGGAAATTTCTAATTAGCATTGCTATGAGTATAATATTTTAATTAGAGGTGTGCAAAAAGTTCACCCCGATCAACTTGACCCATCTTACTTGAATGCTTTTCTCTAGCAGAAAGGATTCTCAAAATCACGTCTATGCTAAGCAGGCACTATCAAAGGGATCTTGAAAGACTGCAGGAAAATATCTGGCAAATCAAAAGAAGCTTAAGAGTCTAACAGAAGAAAATATTTTGATGCTTGTAGTGAAGAACAGGCTGCGACTCCCTTACCATTCCATGTACGATGTCTGATTAGGCTGGTGGTTGAATTTTTTTTTCAACATTAGGAATGGAACAGTGCTCTTCACTACACCTGAAGATGAGCTTCAGAGTTCAAAGCAACTCTGGGCAGCATATAGCTGTCCAGGAAATTGCTCCCACCTCCCAATAACCATTGCCTGAAGCAACTGCTTCACTACCCCAATAGTAG